TTGCGCCTGCAGAGGAGGGATATAGATATATATGTATGCGCATATATATATATATATATACGTAATAGACAAGTGAATGCATATGTAGACATGTATTATCTGCACACCCGTACATTTTATGCTCCTACAAGCTTACTCCCGAATAGAAGCCAACTCTGGCACCGTAGCTGAATAAGAGATTCTCGCAAAAGCGTTCGTACACATGAGCCAACGGCAAATAAGAAATGATGCAGTCGGAAGCAAACAGTTGGAGCCCAAACTCTTGTAGAGCTGTACACGCCGCAAACGAGATAGCGAGTGCACGATTTAGTGGGCAAAATACCGTAAATATGTAAATAATAAACTAAACGAATACAGAAATGGATGCAAAGAACCACCCATACAGAATCAACACAAGTGCACAACTCTCAGTCGGTGTACAGTATGTAGGGGCAGACGGGTTAAATACAAGAAAACAAACACATGAATACAATGCATACAACCAACGAAGCAAGTGCTACTGCGCCCGCTTGTTGCATGCAGTACACGGACAAATAGTTGAGCAAAAGAAAAAATGAAAGACAATATCGACCGCAGAGAACAAGCAGGCAAAAACAACTTAACAAGGGCAGAAGTCCGCGCAGCACGAAGAGCAAAGACCCATCTAACAAAAAGGGGATTAAAAAACGCGGAACAGAGAAATAAAAAGCGGAGATATGGGCCGGAAGGCATCAACATCAACTAAACGTGAAAATGCAGATGCGCGGACAAACAAAAGAAGAAATAAAGAGAATGCAGGCACCAGATATAATAGAGAGGCAAGAGAAAAGGAAAACACAGCAGAACGAAGGGTGATACAAGCAAACAAGTGTGCAGACACGAATGAGGAAAACAAGGAAAGCAAAAAAGGCAAGCAAACAAACATGAAAGAAACGTAGCAAAGAAGAGACAAAGAATCAACTCACGACCCTCCACAGCTGCCGCGATAGCCGCCACGAAATTCCCGTGGGACATCATCACACCCTTCGGGCTGCCAGTTGTTCCTGCGCAGCACATAATACCCTAAACCCTAAACCCTAAGTTATCGGTTGGCGACAGCCGAGAACACTGAAAGGTCGCGCAGAGAGCGCACAAGTAACGTGTTGAAAATGAAGCAAGCATGAAGGCAAAGACGCGGCTAGCAAAATGTCCGTGCGCAGTGGCTTAGGTAGCTGGCCAGCTAGCAGAAGACCGCTGGCCAGCTAGCCAACGGGCTCCGTGCCTATCCGTATACTCCGTTGGCCAGTTATCCTAGCTGGGAGAGCGCACAAGTAACGTGTTGAAAATGAAGCAAGCATGAAGGCAAAGACGCGGCTAGCAAAATGTCCGTGCGCAGTGGCTTAGGTAGCTGGCCAGCTAGCAGAAGACCGCTGGCCAGCTAGCCAACGGGCTCCGTGCCTATCCGTATACTCCGTTGGCCAGTTATCCTAGCTGGCAAGCCCGTCAGTTGGAGCGTTTTGCGAGCTCGCTGTACGCCTACGACCAGCTAGGCAGCCAGCTAGTTAGCTACCCAGCTAGCGGAGGGATCCACTTGCCTGAGGTGTAGCAAATGGTGTGGAGAGAGTCCAGCGTTGGCTGAACTTCTTCGGAAAGAGGCACCATGTTGGCTCTCCCCTGAAACAACACAGACGCCGAAAACTCTAAGCCCTAGACCCTAAAATCTAAAGCTGAATGCAGATGAGCACGCGCGTGCAACAACTCGACAGTGTACGGCTTCCACACTTGAGCTGGGGGCTCCGCTCTCCTCTGTCTGTCTTTCTGTTTCAGGAGAATTAGTGCTTTGAAAACCCATTTCGAGGCATGGGAATTAATGTTTGACATACAAGCTCAAGGAGCTCTTCCCAGCACATGAGACGGAGGCCCAACTCTTCTGCCGTTTGTCTCTGTTCATCTGTCACTCGGTCTAAAGTGATGACACACTCTAAAAAAATATCGCGGTGCTGCTCCACGTGCATCCCTCCGTGCTGCTGCTGCTGCTGAGCCTCCTCCCCGTGCGGCTGCTGCGGCTGCTGGTTCACCGTCCTATGCTGCTTGTCCTGCTGTAATGCAGCAAGCAGCTTCACTAGACAGTCCGCGTCGCAAACAACTGTCTTCATCTGGGTCTCCCCCAAAATGAAGCGCGTGCTGTGGGCCCCCAGGGTGTCGTACAGTGGCACCACCGTCAAGCCGTACGCGTTCGCTGCCCGCACACACATACCCTCCCACACCACAGTACGCTAAACCCAAAAACACATATGTGCATGCATGCAAATATATACATATATATATATATATGCACATATGAATGCACATACATACATTTAAAAAATACATACACGTACGTAACACGACTACATATATATATATATATATATGGATATACATTCGTACAAGAGTTAAACGCATTAGTGGGCCTGCCCCTAGTAAGGGTGTACTCTCCCAGATATGCAAGACGCTGCTGGTACTCCCAAAGCAGACGCCTAGCAGCAGCGCGTCGCCTAATGTGCTAGGGTTTATGATTCATATAGTGGGGGAAGACAGACCTGCATGCTCTGTGATGACCCATTCCTCTCGGTTTCTCGCAAAGATGCCTATACACCTCAGCGACAACGGTTGCTCGCCGGGTTCTTCAAAACGCCGTGAAGGGACAAAGTCTCCATTCAAAAGGCCGCTTCCTACCTCTAGCGCCAGGCGCTCCACCTGTATGCATGCGCGCATGCAAGCAAGCACTCGGGGTGCATGTACACGTCAGGTGAAGGACAGATGTACCAGCAAAGCAACCAGAAATGCCGGAAAATTTTGACGAAGAGGCGGCTGCATGCAGAAACGAAACTTCTGATGCATATCTGTGGGCTAGGGGAGGACGGTGAGAGAACAGTCAGCGGCACAGAGACGAACAAAACAAATGGCATAGCAAATGAAGTCAGACGACCAGCTGTAAAGGAAAAGAGGGACAAGAAGAAGACTATCAACCGCAGCGGCTCCTAAAAGCACCTTCTACACAAGCAGGCAAGCCGCGAGAGGAATAATATGAAAACAAAAAAGAGACAAGGTTAAAAGCGACGCAGGACAGGAGTTGAGTATGAGACGAAACCCACAGACGAACGCTATAAACATACGCAGCAATGCATTAAAAGCAGTGACACTACTAAGAATAATGGGCAGATATGCATTTAAAAGATAACATGATATACCTCTCTGTACGTCTTCCACACGTACTCTCCCTTGTTACCGTCAGGCGTTACAACTCTAGTGCCAAGACAGGGGTCTTCAGCTGACGTGTTCACGCCCATTTGAAATAACTCCCACCTGCACATACACCTCAGGTGCGCGGACACCTCACCTGCTGTACAGGCACCCCATGCGTTATACTGGCAACTCAAAAAATTGTATGGATCTCTCAGCTGCTAGGAAGACACATCGAATGCAGAGACATCTGAAAGGCACATGCACCTCAACTACGTTTCAAATGTCTGGACAGCTAAGAGTGGATAATCGAGACGCCTCTACGCCGCTCTTCGCAGCGTGAACTGCACATACACACGGCACGCATCACTGCTCCTGCTGCTGTGGCTGCTGCAGCTGCTCCCCCTGGTGCTGCAGCTACAGCCCGAAACGATGCATATGTGTTTCTCACGCATTTTTAACAGGATGGGCTGAAAAGTTGTCGGCGAGGCGATTCAAAGCAGAATAGTGACGCCGTGGCACTGTGCGATCAGCTGCATGTACAGCCCACATCACATGCAGCAGCAGCACCACCACCACCAGAGTAAAGCGACTCAACTGACGCCACATGCATGCATGCGACACGATAAAACAACACAACGAGAACAACAAAGCGACAACATGCATGCGTGTGCGCATGCATCAGGCTGCAACAAGATCAACAGAGCAGGCCAAGCGCAGCAAGAGTACTAGAGAAAAAAAGAATTCTACCTCTTGAGAGGTGCATACGATTCAGGAGGGCAAACCAGCCGGAGAAAATTGAGAAAAAGGAGAACACCAACAAGCGGGAAAGCAAAAAACAAAGCAAGAGAGCAAACTCACCCCAGGTTTCTGCATTGGGCACGACGACAGAATACTGAACGTCCTTGGGAGACGACACGCCGGCCCCCATCTCCGCAGGGGCCTCTGCATACAAAGAAAGAAGATAAGGAAACTCCGAGATAATAATCAAACGAAACAGTACTGAAATTCGCTTATACACAACGTACAAGAAAAGAGCAAAAAGAACACGCAACAGTGCACGCATGCTCAAAAGATTAACGGCAAAGATGCAAACATCCGCGTTCATTTGATCTTGTAATTCGTGTATACATGAATGTATGCATCTACGTACAGATTGAACTATATATGCGTATATGTTTATACATATATAAGCGAATGTATAATTCCAGGAGAGGGTAACCATACACCTATCTACAGCTAAAAAAGAAAAACAGTAGTAGGTAGCAGGGAGGCTAGACTATGAATGCCATTGGGGGCAGGAAGAGAGAGTAGGGATGTGGCTTAAATGCGATTAAACACACGATGAAATGGTGGTCCCTCAGATGGCTATATTTGGGCCCCGATATTGCAGGGGCTGCTGAAATATGTGGTCGTAGAAACAGCTGTGAAGCTCTTGCTGCTGCTGCTGCTGCTGCTGTCGCTCGTCTTGCTGCTGTTGCTGCCACCTCAGCTGATATTGCTGCCGCCCCGGCTGTTTACCCTGCTGCAGCAACAGCTCTTGCTGCTGCAGCTGTTGCTGAAGCTGTTGTTGCTGAGATGAAAGAATTAGAGTAAATGCCGTGAAGAGGGTTTAGAGGAGGAGAGAAGGCAAGACAGGCACAGAAGGCTCGGGAGGGTTCAGAGCGTTGGGCGGCAAAGACACGCATAAGAATGGGCAGAAGGGAACTCAAGCAGCACAAGCAACAAAGCAAAGAGAACTAATTAAATTATTTTTTGATTTGCTGCAAGAAAAAACACCCAGACGGCTTTAGCCGAAGCCTACCAGCCCCGCTGAGACCCCATGCACACAGAGCAGCAGCAACCCTTGCCGCAGCGAGCATGTACATACACCTCAAGACAAAATTTAAGTTTTAATATGTTTCTTTATTGAACACAAATAGATTATTAATTGATTATAAAAGCCATACATTCGTAACTTACGCATTCACTGCATCGCCTTAACATATAAACAAACACGCCAGCCTGCCGCCTGGTCGTTAGTTTTGTTTGTCTGTTCACATCAATTTGTCTAGTATATAAATAAACACTTACATGTATTTGTCTTTATAGCGCTTCATGTCTAAACGACA